TGTGTGCAATGAGGCTGGGGCAGGGCCCTGGGACTGGGATCCCACCGTCTGTGCGTGCTTACACTCGATTTGTGCTTTAGAAAGAAACAACTGCAGTACACTGGCCTTCATTCTTTCTGCTTCTCTTCTTCCGTAGGTCTTTCAGTTTGCAGTGAAAGAGTCGCTTATAACGAAACTGCCAACAAATGAATTAATGAATCCATCCCAGAAGAAGAAAAGGAAGCACAGGCAAGTGTTGGACAAGCTTGTTTTGTTCTTAAAATGCAGCCAGACCCACTGCTTTTTGTGCCAGTGCATTCCTGGTAATCCCCATCTGGCTCCCATCTGTGCACACGTCCCAGTGCCGCGGGGCTGCTGGTGCTGCTGGCCCAGCTGTGGGGGCCAGCCTTTGCCTCAGCTCCCAGACTTAAAACCTTTTTGTGTGCTGATCCCAGTGTGCCAGTGTTGTTCTGGCTCCAGCATTTGCCTTAAGTAACTTCTGCAGTAGCTGCGTCGTTCCCATCGTTCCCTGCTTTATGGCCGGCTGGTGGTTATCAACGTGTTCATTAGTCATTGGCAGTTATTGATGTGTGAAGCTGTGGGACAGCCTCACCGAATCACCCATCCCTCACTGCTGAGCCCCCATAGCAGGCTCTTCTCGGGGGGGGAGCTTGCACATCCCCTCAGACTCCCCCGCTTCTCTTGCAGGCTGTGGGCCGCGCACTGCAGGAAGATTCAGCTGAAGAAAGGTAACGTCAGCTGCATCACATGAGGTTTGCGTGGCTGCTTGCCCGTGGGATTGAGGGCTCCGGCCCCAGATTGTGCGGTGGGATGGCCATATCCTGCTCTCCAGCCCTGCAGCAGCGCAGAGGGGGAGCATCCCCCTCTGCCAGGCTCCTCGGGGGGCATCTGTGGCCCCAGCCACACATCAGTTGTCCAAGCTGTGTCTGCCGGAGCTGGGTGCTTGGTGCTGCTGAGCTCCCTGCCCTCTGCAGGCACACGGGGAGTTTGCACCTTCCCTGCTCTGGAGCCCTGCTCACGCCTCTTTTGAACGTTTCTGCCATGTGCAGCTCTAACCCATCATTTCTCCCCTTGTTTTAGATAACTCGCCCACCCAGGTGTACAACTACCAGCCCTGCGACCACCCCGAGCACCCCTGCGACAGCTCCTGCCCCTGCATCATGACCCAGAATTTCTGTGAGAAGTTTTGCCAGTGCAACCCTGACTGTAAGGAGCGATCCCAGACTCGGCTCTGACAGGGCCCAGGGGGGAGGGCACAGAGTGGGGCCGTGCTGAGTGCCTGCTCTGTAATCAGAAATCTGCTAAAGCCCCTGGGAAACCAGTCCATGCTGCCCCGTGACTGTTGGCAGCTGAGATCCCTGCCCCTCGTTAGGGAACGCTCGTGTCCGTGTCCTGCACCAGCAGCCCATGGGGGATGCTGCCGGGTCCTGGGTGCAGGGCGTGTGGCCAGCAGCAGAGTGGAAGTGGGGTCTCTGCTCTGCCGCCATTAATTTTCCTCTCTGGCCTTCCATTCCCAGCTCTGCAATGGCAATAACCGCACGCGCCCGCTTCGTTGAGATTCCCGAGGGTGGATTCATTATGGGTTATGGCACAGCTTGGGGCTGGGAGGACAAGGAGCCAACTCGGGCTCTGGGATCCCCTGCGCTGCTCTGTTACGGCTGTATTATCTGAGTAGTTTACTTCCAAACTACACAAAATTGCCCCTAAAAGGCAGATCAGCATCTGCAGCCTTGCTGATGGGGAAGACCCTGCGTGGCCTGGCCCAGGAGGAGCCCTTGCAGGGCAGGGGCAGTGGCAGGGGCTCAGCATGGCTCCTCCATGCTCTGAGACACCTCACGGTGCCGAATTGTGTCGCCACAGGCCAGAACCGCTTCCCAGGCTGCCGCTGCAAGACCCAGTGCAACACCAAGCAGTGCCCATGCTACCTGGCTGTGCGGGAGTGCGACCCTGACCTGTGCCTGACCTGCGGCGCCTCGGAGCACTGGGACTGCAAGGTGGTCTCCTGCAAGAACTGCAGCATTCAGCGGGGCCTCAAAAAGGTACGCACAGCAGCGTTGCTGGGGCAGGGTGGAAGGGGGTGTGCGAGCCCCAGACACTGCTCTGCCCCAGGCTTCTGTAGCCCTGACTCTGGGGATGGGTTGCAGATATGAAAATCCATAGACGGGAGTTAATGAGGAAGGGAGAGAGCAAGGGAACATCGAAAGTGACTCCAGAGAAAGGTTAGGTTCAGTTTAGGTCGGGGCAGGGGACTGTTACAAAAAAGACCAGAATTCAGAGAAAGATGCAGATCAGTGGTTTCAAGTGGGCCAGCCGTGACCGTTCCCTTTCCCCCTTCCTCCAGCACTTGCTGCTGGCCCCATCGGACGTCGCAGGCTGGGGGACGTTCATCAAGGAGTCAGTGCAGAAGAATGAGTTCATCTCCGAGTACTGCGGTGAGGTCAGTGCTGCCCCCATCGCCCCCCCTGCCGTCCCCCCCGTGCCGCGGGCGCTGCGCCCCTCTCAAGGCTCATCTCTTCCCCAGCTCATTTCGCAGGACGAGGCCGACCGGCGGGGGAAGGTCTATGACAAATACATGTCCAGCTTCCTCTTCAACCTCAACAATGGTAACGGGGCTATGGGGGCCGGGGGAACGTGGGGTCCCTGCCTGGGGCCAGGGGGCAGTCTCAGCCCCCCTGAGCAGCAGGCCTGTCCTTACACCACAGCTTTCTTTTTGGTTTTTTTAATATATTTTCC